GCCGCGACTGGCGCCTCCATCATCCGATACGACGCCGACGCCGAGTGGCCAACGAGCATCTCGAAGAGGTGCGGGGAGCCTGTTCTGGCCGCCCTCAGAGCTCGTCGCGCGGCGGCGCCGAGCCTGTCTACGTCTGCCTGGTTGGGCGACCGGGCCACCCAGCCCCACAGGGCGACGGCCATAGTGCCTGCTGCAAAGCGTCGCTTGGCCAGCCCCGACCGCGGGATGAGCGCCAGCCTCCGCATCCTTGCCTGCGCCGCGGCCAGCCGCGCCTCCTCCTTGGGGGCCTTGCGGCGCCGTCGGGAGGGCTGGAAGTGGCACCCCAGCAGCAGTGGCTGCGCCAGCATCGTGGCTTCTGTGTCCCCTGCTGCCGTCGCCCCGCCTTCGCGCGGTGGCCGAACTGTTCTGTGCTCCTGTTCTCCTTAAGGCCCAGCGCGGCTGACCACCGCCGCCAGGAGGCCGCCACCTGGGCCATCTCCTCCGCCTTGGTGCTCTTCCAGGAGCGGTCGCCCATGTACACCGCCTGCTGCGAGTGCGGGAAATCCTCCTGCAGCTTCGTGATCGGCGCCACGAAGAGCGCCGTCATGCCCACCACCGACCAGCCGTCGCCCTGCGGCACGCTGGCGCCGACCGCGCACGGGTCCGCGAGGACGCGGCCCTGGAGCTCCAGCCACCGCTGCTGCTGCCCCCACATTCCTCCGACCAGGTCGGCCGTGCACCGCGGCAGCCCCACCTGCTTGAAGATGCCGACCACCGCCGCGGGGTCCGCCATGTCGAACGCGAGGGAATAGTCGAAGGTCGCCATAAACTCCCCTTCCGCGCACGCTTCCTCCAAGGGGCCAACAGCGCCGATGACCTCCCTGCCGGCACGGCCACCCACGGCCTCCTATGGCCACCAGGAGTCAAGCCAGGCCTGCACACTGCGCTCCCGCAGCCGGGCACTGCCCCAGAGGCGCCACCACACCGAAAAAATGGTGATTGGCCGCAGCGCCGCGCAGTCGACTGCGCCATCTTCGACCCTGGCCCCCTTGCCCTTTGGCAGCAGGACAATGCGAGCGCGGGTCCACGCCTGGGGCGGCACGCCCCCCGCCTCGATGGCTGCATAGACCTCGGCCAGGTGCTGCCACGCCGTGTCCGGCAGATCCTGCAGCTCGTCGCCGCGCCATCCGTCTGGGCCTGCCGCACTGCCCTTCTGCCTCCGCGCCGCCTCGGAGAAATCCTCCCCCACGAGGGCGTTGAGGTCCATTTCGTCCCTCGCGGGGATGACGCCGGCCACCTCCCGCAACACGGCCTCCGTCGACGGCCGCTGCCGGTCCCACACGGTGCGCCAGTGGGCCGCTAGCCTCTCCAGGCTCTCTTGGGGGGAACTCGTCGCCGCCTTCCCGCCGGGGACCCTGTCCGAGAAGACGAAAGTGAGGCAGTTCGGCGCGAAACGAAAGTGAGGCACATCCCCTGGAACCAACGCGAGCACCGAACTACAGTAAACTGATAAGCACAGAAGCTCAAGCGGATAAGGAACAGGCGAGCGCCGAGCCGTGAGGCCGAGAACTCAAGCGGACGAGGAACAGACTCAGCACCCAGGTGCACTGCAAGTCCAAAAAGGCACCCAGAGGTGCCCTGCCTGAGCTCTGGCCACTGCTCACACCCGCTTGCTGGGCCGTTCGCCGCGGCCACGTCCTCTGGCCCCTCCAGCCTTCCTCCTTACCCCGGGCGCTGGTGCGCCGGGTCCGCCTGCGAGCCCTGGCCGGGCGTCCTCCACTCCCTCACCCTCCTCCGCCGCGGGCTGCATCTCCTCCTCCCCGCTGCCTCTGCCTCCTCCATGGCCTACTGCCTCCTCCCTGTCCTCCTGTGGTCGCGGACTGCATCCCTCCCTCCCCCTTCCACAGTTCCAGCCGCTGTGCGCAGCCTCTTCCTGGACCGCTCACCGCGGCCACGTCCTCCGCCTCCTCCTGCCCACCCCCTTACCTTGGGCGCCGACGCGCCCGTGCGCGAGGTCTCCTCAGGTCGGCGCGCAAAGAAAAGTGAGGGTGCCACCATCCCGAGACACCGGCCCAGGCGGGCGAGAGCTCAAGCGGGCAGGTGACAGTTTCAGCACCTGGGCGAATTGAGACCCCGATTGGCCCTCAGAGGGGCCCAACGCCGATCCTAACAGACTGCTCCGGCGACTCGCTTCGTTCGTTCGGAGGACAGCGATACAGGGGCATCATGTGGAACCAAAACAAGCACTGAACGAGACGGGTCAGTGCTGCAAATAGATAAGGAGCATTATCATATATTTCGGATGGAAATTCTCATTGAGAAAGAACAGCTTTGCCAGCCTGGACCCCTCGCAGTGAGTTACTGCAGCGTGGGGGCGCAAGCTTTGCAGTGTCAGATATATGATGCAACCTGTGTAGCGTAGGCTACGTGGTGCACGCTACGTGGTGTCGGCTGCATGGAAGAAGATGTCCAGTGTAAGTTGGGTGATGTGAGTGATCTCCACTGCAAACGATGTGGCGCA